ATCCTAATCTATACTGCTACATAAATGATGTAAGTGATGTAGTTACTCTCCCTGAAAGTGATCTGGCTTATATCGATGTATAGTATATGATTATAATGATGTATATGAAATGTATTGACTGAAGAAACAGAATTGAAAAAAAAAAGATAAAATGTGTAAAATTGCAAAGTTTCTTTAAAATTGACTTGATGTATTACGTATATCCCCGTAATTCATATAGGCGGCATATAACTAATTGTCTTTAATGGAAATTTATTAATTGTTAGCCAAATTATCATTTATGAAATGGAAACAAGGAAAATACATACATACATATAATCACGCCTCTTTCCCGTATGGGTAGGCAGATACTAGTTCTTTCCACTTGCTACGATCCTTACATACTTGTTTTGCTTCGTCCACTTTCATTATTCCCTTCATACATGCTCTACGGTTTAGGGTAATCTTGAGCTGGCCTTTAAAAAATAATAAAACACAATAATTTTGCAACTGTTTATTGTCATTGAAATAACACATGTTTTTTTAAATTATCATTTTCACACTTTAATATTAAAGTTCAGACGACAATTAATTCAGATACTAATGAATCATGACATTATGATCACTTTTATTTCAACTCTTTTCCAAAAGTCGTGAGTATTACGTAACTACTTATTTACTTCTCTGGTTTAGCAACCCTACCAAAAGTTCATTCATAGGGTATCACCCTATAATTTCGCATGTTTTCATAGACAACCAGTATTTGCAAATTTTCATTAATATGTTAGTGGATGAACAGGACTGTTACAGGCTCTCTAATACTGCTCTCTAATAATATAGAGCCTCGCAATTTGGTCGTTTGTCACCCTCACGGTGATCGGCGATTGGTTGCGTGGTTGGAGGGTGGGCGTTGCGCGGCGGTTTGTTTTTAATTTTACAAACTGCTGCGTAAGTCCAGCGGTGATTGGCCGCATGTTTTATCGCATGACGCAGTCGCTCGCTCCTTAGGTAGAGAGCGGTTGCATCATCGGTCTGTATAAAAGGCACTTGTTTTGGCTCGCAGCTCACTTAGCGGTTAGCCACCGTAGAGTCTATATCACCTGAGGATGCCTCGTGTAGAGGCGAAACACGTGTCGTATTATCGTTAGTGGTGTGTCTTGCCTAGTGTATTGGTGTTGGGAGTAGCGGTGCTGGGATTAGTGGTGACGGGGATAGTGCACTCAATTGAGGGAGGGCGGGAGGTGCTCTTCATACTAGGTAAGACACATCATTTTATTTTATTTTGTAAGAGCTTTTACTCTAATATTGCCCAAAACGGCATATTTTCGTATATATCGCATCGCATATGCATCACTTAAGCAACGATCCGTTAACTCGCAACAATTTGAGCCTGCGACTGACAGCACAGACTAACAGTCAATTACGCTCTGCTGCCACACTTCTTACGTGGTAGAGCCATGCTGCTGCTATATTACTAGTATACAAGGGCGGCACTGAAAATTTCGGGAATCAAGTATTTATTGCTTTTCGAAGTATTCTCCGCGAAATTTGACACATTTTTCCATACGATGGAACCAATCATTGAAGCAACCATTCCATTCGGAAGTTGGGGTCTCCAAAATGGCCGTTTTGTAGGCGTCCACAGCTTCTTCAGGTGATGAAAAACTCTGTCCACGCAATTAATTCTTTATTTTAGGGAAAGTATAGAAATCATTAGGGCTTAGGTCGGGGCTGTACGGCGGATGGTCTAATAATTCTATGTTTTCTTGCTCTAAAAACTCTTTTGTTCTGTGTGCGGTGTGAGAACTCGCATTGTCGTGATGGAGGATGATGCGTCGGTTGCAGTGCTCTTTACGGAGTTCAGAAACGACCTGTGGCAAACAAATGTTAGCATACCGTTCTGCATTAACCGTTCTTTGTCCCTCAAGACGAATAGTCGTAACATGGCCGATTTTGGAGACAAACGTGGCCACCATTTTTTTTGCAACACTCCGTGAACGAACAATTTTTGTTGGATTTAACTCATCTTCGAACACCCAAACTCATGACTGGTTTTTTGTTTCGGGTTCGTACGCGTATATCCAGGATTCGTCACCTGATACGATGTTGTATACAGCATTTGAGGATCCTGCGTGGAATCTTTCGAGAGTTCTGACGCACCAAGTAACGCGAGCCGCTTTTTGCTCTTCACAGAGCGAATGCGGTATCCATCGGGAAAACAACTTTTTTACACCTAATTGTTCATGCAAGATTATTTGTATTTGACTCATGCCAATGTCTAAAGTAGCCTGAATTTCGCGGTATGTCACATGTCGATCTTCCTCAATCAGCTTACGCACAGCATCAACGTTTTCTTGGGTGACTGCAGTTTTTGGACGACCTTGACGGGGATCATCACTGAGCTTGACACGTCCACGTTGAAATTCAGCAAACCAGCGATAAATTGTGGTTTTGGATGGGGCTTCATCACCAAATGCAGAAATCATCTGGTCAACACACTGTTTTCGTGTTAAACCACTTCGAAAGTCATAATAAATCATCGCTCTTGAATTTTCCCGAGTCAATTCCATTTTCTCAACGACTAAACAAGTTTGACATAACCTTGTGACAAGACCGAGAATCTTCTTTTAAATAAATAAATGGTATTCGATTTTTAAAACCAAAGACTTTTCAATTAAAAAGATTTTAATATGACAGGAACAGTGGAAATATTCCATTCCCGATACTTTTAGTGCAGCCCACAGAACACAATTACTCTCTACCAAGAGAAGAACGTCAACTTCATACTAAAAAACGGAAACACGTGTTTACGAGTGTACATGAAAAGCGCTACGGTGGACACCCATATAAAACTGTTTTAGTGGGAATTTCAAACCTTTGTATTCTGTAACTTTAAATTTTTTGTTTAAGGCTTATTCGAGTAATTTTGGCTCAAGCCTCACAAACCTATGGGGTAAATTCCCATATTTTTGAGAGGTTGCACCAAAATTACCCGAATATACTTTAGATTAGTATGTGGGATAAAATAAAACTATAAATAAGTATAGTTATGTAATTTTATTTTCTGGAAGACAGATTGTTTTATAACCTACACATTATTATTGATGTTTTTTATTGCTTTTGCACATAATATTTCCACGCTGGTTACTGATGTAACACATGTTATAGTCAGAGAGTTATTCTTCACAGAACATTAACGTAAATTTAAATCAGCAATATTCTCATGGTGAAAAGTTAACTCAGCCCAAATACATGATATGAAACAGATAAAATTCGAGTTAATACAGTAATAATCCCTACAAATAACGATCAATACATTTAAAATACTTAAAGACTTACCACAATATTGTCAAAAGTTTTTCTTCTTCTATTGTAGGAAACCTGCAGAAAGTAATAATAATAATAAGTATTTATTTCAGACGTAAGGAACATCCATAGATTGTTAGTATGTTAGTAACAATTTTTTCTTACAGAAAAATCAGAAAAACAGAAAAATCTCTAATGTCACCAAAAAGAGACTTGTCAGAACTTTAGTGTTCTCCATCTTCCTTTATGGCTCTGAAGCATGGACGATTCGAGCAGCAGACAAGAAAAGGATTGATGCGTTCGAAATGTGGTGTTGGAGAAGGATGCTTCGGATACCATGGACCGCTAAGAGGACCAACGAATCGATCCTGGGGCAGCTTCGTGTTGACACCAGACTCTCTACCACGTGTTACCAGAGTATTCTGAGTTACTTTGGTCATATTGCCCGACGCCCGCCTAATAACTTGGATAGACTTATAGTCGTAGGTAAGGTGGGGGACAAAAGACCACGCGGCCGATCATCTAGCCGCTGGTCAGACCAGGTCAAATCACTCACTGGCCTCTCACTCACGACTGCAATGCAAAAAGCCGAGGACCGGACAGAATGGAGGGCTATAGTGAACAGCGCTACGAAGGCACTAAAATACGGACACGACCTTCAATTTTGAAGAACACGACCAAGAAGAAGAAGAAGTTAGTATTGTTAGTTAATGTGAATTATGTACAAATTATTTTTTTCGTCCAATAGCTACCGTCATACAGTGGTGCAGTATGGGGCAGTCGAGCCTGGCAGCAATTACCCTAATTAGATGATTTTGTGCTTTTTGTTTGTACAACGCTTAATTTACTTTCGATTCTGATCACACATCGTGAATAAAATTTTTTAATAATAAAGTTATAGTCAATATCGCTTAGAGTCAACATCTCACAAAAAATATTTACAGACACATTCGCGAAGAAAAGCCTACAAACGGAAATGAAGTATTCTGAACCGATAATAACTAAATTGCAGCAAAAAGCAATAACAAATAATAAAATCTAAACCTTTTAAATAAATTTTAATCAATTTCAGAAAATATATTCAATATGAAAGATGTTGACAAATAAATGTCATTTTTTTTCTTCTTTTAATTCATGGCTTCTCTTGATAGAATTCTGCTAATATTTAATAACTTTATTTTAGTTAATTAATAGTGTAGGTCAATTAATTGTGCAAACCTCAAAGTAATATGTAAATAATTACTGTAAAGTGCAAACAAAAAATAAATATAGCACAGAATTAACATTTTCAGTTTCTTCGGATACAATAATCATGTATATTTTTATCTAATTTTTTAAAATGGCAATCTGAAGCAACGCGAAAGAAAGAAGCAGCGATATTTTTTCTCGCTTTATTTTTACAAGCTCAACACAAATGTTGACAAAATCTTGATTGTGTGCAGATGTCTCAGCTTTCAAACAAAGTTGGATCACCCTGGTGCAGCCTAAGTTGTTTGTGACTCTAGTCTATGGCTTTGACCTATAGGCTCAGAAGGGCTAGAACCCAGAGCTGTAAAGCCACTTTAAAAAAGCTTGGACCGATTTGATTTTGACGTTTGACGTTTTAAATTATAAACATTTTCGCGCGATTCTTCTATTTATTTATTTATTGCTTTACTTTTTTTATTGATGTTTGATTTTGATGTACGAAAAAATAGCATAAGCTTGATTTGAAAATGAGTAACGAAGATGTAACTATAATGGAAGTAGACGAGGCAGAACCTAAAGTTTCAAAACCAGTTGTGGGACCGAGTAAACCTGTTGGACTATTACCATGGATAGAAAAATACAGACCTCAGACTTTTGACGATATTGTAGGCAACGAGGACACAGTTTCAAGATTAGCTGTATTCGCCCGTACTGGTAACGCACCAAACATCATCATTGCAGGACCACCGGGGGTGGGAAAAACAACTACGATTTTGTGTCTAGCCCGGGCATTACTAGGCTCTGCTTTTCGAGATGCAGTACTTGAACTCAATGCATCTAATGATCGCGGTATCGACGTTGTGCGTAACAAAATCAAAATGTTTGCCCAACAAAAGGTAAGTTCCTTTTACATCTTTGATTATTTGCATTTTTGTTGTAAACTAAATTATTTCATAGTTGTTCATTTAACACCTTGTAATATTAAATGTGGCATAATATTCTGGGGCTATAACCCATTAAACCCAACAAGTGTCTCATTGGGTTCTTATATAATAACTATACTATACTAAGTCACTGAATTCTTCTCCTGTCGTCGCCGAATCATTACTTAAACAAAATGTAAATGCGTGTACAAAGAATTTTACATTTCATAAAGTATCATCAAAAGATGTAAAATATTTTAAAACTATTGATGTTAAGAAAACTGCGGATCTGTGGGGGATTCCCGTTAAAGTTATTGCTTCTATAATAGATACAATCACACCTCATTTAGCTATTATTTTTAATACTAGTATCGAATCTGGTGTGTTTCCTGATTTAATGAAGTATAGTAAAGTCATACCTTTATTTAAATCTGGTAGTACATTAGACCCCGCCAATTTTAGACCTATTTCTGTACTACCAACACTTAGTAAGATTTTTGAAAAAATTATTCTTGATCAAATGTTAAATTTCTTTAATATAAATAATTTACTTCATAAAAATCAATTTGGTTTCACAAGGGGTCACTCGACATCAGATGCCGGTGTTGAGCTGATTAAATATATATTTAATGCATGGGAGAATTCACAGGATGCTTTGGGTATATTTTGTGACCTATCCAAAGCCTTCAATTGTGTTCACCATGAAACATTAATCAGGAAACTTCAACACTATGGTGTAAGAAGTGATGCTCTTAAATTAATTATTTCATATTTAAGTAAGAGAATGCAAGAAGTTGTCATTAACAGTATGAGTTCTTCCGGGTCGATGGTACAAATGGGCGTGCCTCAAGGCTCAATTCTTGGCCCCTTTCTGTTTCTTGTATACATTAATGACTTACCTTACATAGTAGGAGATAACCATGATATAGTATTATTTGCAGATGACATTTCTTTAATTTTCAAATTAAGTCGACAATTGCTAAAATATGACGAAGTAAATAATGCTATATCTAAATTAATAAATTGGTTCAATGTTAATAATTTGCATTTAAATGGCAAAGAGTCGTTGCGACAAAAATTTAAGGAAATTAATATATTAACTTTGACGTCTCAATACATTTATGAAAATGTAATGTACGTCACAAAAATAAAAGTAGTTTTACAAAAATAAGTGATATTCATTCTGTAAATACTAGGAACAGACACAAGCTAGTAGTACCAGTTACTCGACTCCATCGAGTCAGTAATTCATTCTTGGGGTGATGTATACGCCTTTACAACAAAATTCCAGAAAATATACAAAATTTGACCTGCTCAAAGTTCAAAAACTTTATTAAACTAAGTTTGTATAAAAAGGGTTATTATAATATTAAAGAATTTATAGATGATAATTACCCCTGGAAATGAGGTGATCGCTACCAAGCTATTTCTAATTTGTTGTGTTGTTAATTTGTGTAACATGCATGATTGTAAGCTGTTATTTAAAAAAAAAGTCCAACTGGGTTTCTTGCTAGTTCTTCCCAGGACAGAGGTTTTTTTTTTCGAACCAGTGGTAATTATACAAAAGAGTGACTTTCAATAAGTATTATTTATAATCTATATTGAATAAAAAAGTTTCTGTTTCTGTTACTACTGAAAGGATAAGTTTTATCAGTCGAGATCAAAAAATGCTATTTAAATTTAGTAAACGAGGCAATTTCAGATTTGTAAATATTATTTTAAACAAAAATGAAATATGTAACTGAATATGATATGCATCTATAAAAATGGAAAGGAAATGATCAAAGTATAATTTTGGTTTTGTTTTTACTTATTTGTTGTGAACTCCATAGATTTTAAAACATTTTTTAATTTAATACACTAATTAGCATTTCTTAGTATCTTGCTATGTGAAATTGAGGAAAAGAAGTGAAATATAAATATATGGCTAGTCTTACCCAATATTAAACACTTGTTTTGTCTGATTAATCCAACAAAGTAACATCCTTTTATTGTTTTGTTGTTTAATAGATAAAACTAATAGTGAATTAAATAATATATCATTATTACCTAAAACATTTGTGGTAACTAGTGTTGCTATGTAGTAGCTAATGGAGCTCAACAATACTATGCTTATGCCCATGCATGGCTAAAGTATGGCATTATACTGTGGGGAAACAGCACAGACCATACATACAATAAAAAAATGTATCCGCATAATTACAAATATAGATAACACTGACAGCTGCAAACCCTACTTCATTTTATTAAAAATATTAACACTTACATCTATATATATATACTAGAAGTATGCACATTCGATAAAAAGATAATGCACCTTTTTCAATATATTCCCGGCCTCATTTTTTACGTCCTAATAATAAGTTAGCTCCACCTATCACAAAATTACAAACAGTGAAATCAGGACCATATGGTATGTGTGTAAAAATTTATAATAAAATCCCTAAATGTCTACAAAAAGAAGAATCATTAAATAAATTTCAAAGAGAGCTTAAAAAAATTTTAGTTGATAAAAGTTTCTATTTATTGTCAGTTTTTAATACAAATAATAATTTTATAATTGAATCTATAAACATTTGCAATGTTTTAACAAATATTGCAAATGTTTATTAAATCTAACAATAATGTTTATCTTTAGTAAATAAAATGCCATCAAAAACGTAACTTCTAAAAAAACCAAGTTTGATAAAGTTTTGTGTGTGTGATTGTGAGAGATGTGATTGAAGTTGATTCTCAAATATTTTTATTTATTTGAGAGACATGGTAAAATAAGCTGTTGCATTTTAACTTTTTTATTAGTTTATTGTACAAATATACAATAATACTTGATGCAGGTGACCTTGCCCCCTGGACGGCACAAGATTGTGATCCTGGATGAGGCAGACAGCATGACAGAGGGCGCTCAACAGGCGCTTCGTCGTACGATGGAATTGTATGCTAGCACCACGCGATTCGCCCTCGCGGCTAACAACAGCGAACGCATCATCGAGCCTATCCAGTCGCGTTGTGCTGTGCTACGATACTCGCGGCTAACTGACGCTCAGATCCTTGCTAAGGTTTGCTTAAATTTTTATGGGTTGGTTTGAACAATATATTGTCAAGTGAGGTTATTTTTTAATAGAATAAAGGTGACAAACAAGCCCAGTCCACCTGATGGTAAGTGGATGCTGTGGCTCATAAACATCTACATTTATCCTTTATTACGAATGGCATTAAGTTGCTATTTTACACTGGCATTCTGTAGGAGCGTGGTTCTACCCCGGTCAAGCCGACCCTAATACAACCATAATATAGCTGCAACGTGGTTCCACCACTTATGAAAAAATGTGGGGTGAGTAAAAATGCCATCTTCAGAAAGGTCCAAAATAATCGCGTATGTAAGTTGATTGCTCATAGTCGCTTATAGAGTTCACTATCGCATTTCCAAAATAGAACTTAAACTTAAAATTCATCTCTTTCAATGGAAAAATACTAAAACAATTGCGGTAACAATATGTCCAAAGTAGAAAATACTTTTTGCACATAAGATTGCGTTTTGCTTGCATCACTTAGTTTGAATGTTGTCAATGTTTACGCCTACACACTTCATTAACTTGATAGAAGACATTGATTGTCGTAACAATATTAAATCCATAGTCCAATTGACTATGCATCATTTAAAATTCTTCCTTTAAGCGTTATCCTGTCTACTGCTAGATTTAGATTAATTTACAAAAATTGGTAAATCCAATTGGGCATGCCCTAAGCGCACTAAAAAAATTACGTATAACATGATTATACGGAATTTTTAAAAGTAGTTTAAATACATTTCGACAGCACTATCGGCTTCAACACCCTCGAAAACCATGAAAATGACACCCATGATGAAACAATTGATACCTAATTCAGCCGCCATCTTGGATTTACATTTCGACAGCACTATCGGCTTCAACACCCTCGAAAACCATGAAAATGACACCCATGATGAAACAATTGATACCTAATTCAGCCGCCATCTTGGATTTACATTTCGACAGTACTATCGGCTTCAACGCCCGCGAAAACCATGAGAATGACGCCCATGATGAAAAAATTGATACATATTGCAGCCGCCATCTTGGATTTACATTTCGACAGCACTATCGGCTTCAACACCCTCGAAAACCATGAAAATGACACCCAAGATAAAAAAAATTGATACCTTTTGCAGCCGCCATCTTGCATTTACATTTCGACAGCACTATCGGCTTCAACACCCTCGAAAACCATGAAAATGACACCCAAGATAAAGAATTGATATCTATTACAGCCGCCATCTTGGATTTACATTTCGACAACCCTATCGGCTTCAACACCCTCGAAAACCATGAAAATGACACCCATGACGAAAAAATTAATACTACTTACTTTTAGTGTGTACTACTATTATTTATTATGTGCTTTTAAAATATTGTAATAAAAAAAACTCATTATTATTATAATCAAGTATTTAAGAAATTTGGTTATTCGAGTATTGTGTATTTGTACAGCGATCTTTTTGAGCCGCTGCAAACAACCGTAACAATGTCCACTCACGACGCTGACTGACGCCGAACTAACCGAATGACGCAGTTTCCATCTAGTAATAATTTATTCATACAAGGCTGCCGAATACAACGAAAATTTCGCCATTTCGCAGCCGAAAAAATTTTATTATAACTAAAGTAAACAAAATTAAACTGCCATTTACATTCAATGGCTTCCCACATGATAGATGAAGAGTTTTAAAAATATATTGAGTTGAACAATTGATATTTTCAAAAGTTATGGTGTTTACAATCCTTGCGGACTTGATAAATCCACACCATAAGCCACTAAAACCCCTTTTTTATGTAAAAATAGCATGTATGTAATTTGTAGAACACAATTAAAATTTAAGATGAAAAAATTAATTATATAAGGCCCGCATGAAAAATTAATTGATGTGTATTCATTTAGTTTATGCTTTTTAAAATGTTCCTCCTACAATTATGTGCATTTTCATCGCCACCATTTAACCTAACATCACTGCACTAGGAAACATACCTCCATCAACAATGCAACACGTCCTTGGGGTCTGAATAAAGCATCATCAGAACTAGATTGCCATGCCTATCTGTTGAGCTGCTTTAAAAACTGGGTAATATATGCATCTTCAATATAATGAAATTTCACAAAGTACACCTGTTTCTATTAATAAACGTGCTTCTCTTGTCAATGGGTTAATATTTTTTTCATTTTCTTCAATATTGTTGTTGCTCCGATATTTGTATTTCATTGGATGCAGCACCGGATTAAACTTTGCTGACCTAGGTTTTTGTAGTAAATGGTTTTTCATTTTGTTTTTATTTGAGGTAATATATTTACAATTTTATAATAAATCAAAGGCGAAGTGTAGGGCGTCCCCCCACTAGATGGAGTGACGACCTGGTAAGATATGCAGGAAGTCGATGGATGCAGGTGGCTCAGGACCGTGCTTTGTGGCATTCTATGGGGGAGGCCTATGTTCAGCAGTGGACTTGTGAAGGGCTGTAATGATGATGATGATGAATAAATCAAATGCATTCAGTGTATTTCTAATAGCGAGACACATTTTTATTTTGATTGACTAGTAACTTGATTTTTTTTTCCATAATCTAAACATACCATATGAATGAAATTCATGTTTCTGTCTGTAATATTGAAATAACTGACTTCTATTAAATCAAGGGGTTATTTGCATAGTATTAAGACATAAACAATTGGTTTTTAAATTTTTGGTGGTCGCTCTTATCTGTCCCGAGCTAATCTTTGAAATTGCTGAATCGATTATGATGAAACTTTACGAACAGATAAAGGCCAATGCCAGGAAGAATCTACAAGAGGGAAAATTTATGAAATAAATTGTTTTTTATTATCTAAATACCCAGACGATGCCAGGGCGGGTTGCTTGTAAAACATATAATTTTTTATAAGGCGCTTAATAACTTTTGTCCCCTTTGTGAAGTCCTAGGCTAGTGCCTAGTGTGCCCGTGAAGTAATATGTATTACGTACTAGAACAGAGACCGTGAACAATATCTGTGCGGGCTGCGTGGACCTTTTTATGTGCCATACACTCACTTCTTGTATGCAGTACATATTACTTTGAGTGTGCCTTATCAACCAGTTACAAATCCATCACTGTTTGCAGGTGATAGAAGTGTGCAAGAAGGAGAACCTTTCATACACGGAGGAGGGGGTGAATGCTGTGGTGTTTACTGCGCAGGGAGATTTGCGGGCGGCGCTCAACAATCTGCAGGCGACAGCTCAGGTAGCTCAGCTATTGATACCAGTTTCTCGACTCTACAGAGTCATTAATTCATTCATAAGGCAATGTAACCACTATTACAACAAAGTCCCAGAAAATATACAAGGTCTCTCTATTAACTTTAAATATTTTATTAAACGAAAACTGTATAAAAAGGGTTATTATTATATAAATGTGTTTGCGCCGAATGCTAAATATTAAAAATGATACTACGGGGCGCTCGCCGCGATGCATTCATAACCGGTATGACGTTTAGATTAACGGGACTCGATTGCCTCGGCGCCGCGCACCACCAGTAAGTCTGCTCGGTCCGTCGAACTGCGAGGTCGCGTGCAAAAAGCCTCTAATTTGTGTCGTTTTTGTTACTACGTTTACGTAACGACGAGGCGTTTTCTTGAGTTTGAGTGATTAACTTAACTTCGTTTGCCGTAAAATTACGTCAATTTGTATAGTGATTGCATGTTTAAGTGCATTTGGCAATATTTATTTTGCTTGTGTGGCATTCTGATATAGTATGGGGACATTTTTCCTTTGTCGGTTAAAAATGCAAAAAATTTGTGACCCGCTAGAATACCTAGTTCGTATTAGATTATAGATTTGTGCTATGTGAAGCTAGACTAGAGTGACATCGAGGTGACGCCCGCTGGAGTGATACTACATCGTGGGGCAGTGCCGGGTATCAGGGCTGCTGCCGATTAAATGGGTTAAGTCAGGTTACATATAAACATTACTACACACTACTTACATACACATCACTTGTCACCTGACTGGTACCTTGTGGTCAACACTACCTCCGGAACTAGGTAAGTGGTGCTTCATCATTACAGCCCTTCACAAGTCCACTGCTGAACATAGGCCTCCCCCAAATAATGCCACAAAGCACGGTCCTGAGCCACCTGCATCCATCGACTTCCTGCATGTCTTACCAGATCGTCACCCCATCTCGTGGTGGGACGCCCTACACTTCGCCTACCGGTACGAGGCTGCCACTCGAGAACCTTTCTTCCCCATCGGTTGTCGGTTCTTCGAGCTATATGGCCGGCCCACTGCCACTTCAGCTTACTAATCCGTTGGGCTATGTCGGTCACTCTGGTTCTACTGCGGATATCCTCATTCCTAAGTTTATCACGCAGAGAAACTCCGAGCATAGCCCTCTCCATAGCTCGCTGAGCGACCTTGAGCTTCCTCATACGGCCAGCAGTGTAGGACCACGTCTCAGTTCCGTAAGTCATCACTGGCAACACGCACTGGTTGTACCTCAGTATGACTGACGAGAAGATGTGTCGTAGCTTCCCGAACGCTGCCCAGCCGAGTTGAATCCGTCGATTGACCTCTCGGTCGAAGTTGGACTTACCTAGTCGGACTATTTGTCCCAGGTAAACATACTCGTCAACAACTTCGAGCTTAGTGCTCCCAACAACTACCGGCGTAGGTATGACATGGACATTAAACATAATCTTTGTTTTGTCCATGTTCATCTTAAGACCTATCCATTGGGAAACACTATCGAGGTCATTGAGCATAGTGCTTAGGTCCTCCAGCGATTCTGCCATAAGGACTATATCGTCGGCAAATCGAAGGTGAGTGATGTATTCGCCATTGATGTTGATACCATATCCTTTCCAGTCCAGAAGCTTGAAAACGTCTTCCAATGCAGCGGTGAAGAGTTTCGGGGATATGACGTCACCCTGTCTTACACCTCTCTACAATTGGATAGGTTTCGTACTCTGGTTCTGTACTCGGATAGCCATCGTAGCCCTACTGTACAAGCACTTCAACACTTCGATATACCGACAGTCAATTTGGCACCGCTGAAGGGACTGCAGCACTGCCCAAATGTCGACGGAATCAAAGGCTTTCTCATAGTCCACATACGCCAGACATAGTGGCAAATTGTACTCTTCGGACTTCTGTACAACTTGCCGAAGGGTATGTATGTGGTCTATGGTGCTAAAGCCCTTTCGGAAACCGGCTTGTTCGGGAGGCTGGAAGTCGTCAAGTCTGCGCGCAAGACGATTCGTAATGACTCTCGAAAACAGCACGTAGACGCGGCTCAGAAGGGAAATCGGTCTGTAGTTCTTCAAGAGAGCGTTGTCACCTTTCTTGAAGAATAAGACCACCGCACTTCTGCTCCACGCCTCCGGTGTAATGCCACCATGGAGGACAGAATTAAAGAGCTTCTGAAGGACTTCAAGTACCGGTCTTCCACCCGCTTTCAGAAGCTCCGCTGTAATTCCATCCTCGCCTGGGGCCTTACCGTTTTTAAGGTGCTGGAGAGCCATTCTAATCTCGCTCAGACTGACGTCCGGGATATCTTCGGAATAGTGTCGGATGAGACTCGCTCTTGGATCGTTACTCACACTTGCGTGTGGCTCCAACGATGACGTGTACAGCTGCCCATAGAACCTCTCAATCTCACTCAAAATCTCAGGTGTCCCGGAAACGATGCTGCCACATTCCGTCTTCAGCTTTGACAGTTGGCTCTTTCTGGCAGACAGATCTCTGGCAAAGACTTTGGAGCCTTGGTTCCGCTCGATCGCTTCTTCAATACGAGCTGTATTGAAGTTGCATAAGTCCCGCCGCATGCATTAGGAGATCTGTCTGTTCAGATGCCTGTATGCTGTCAAGTCTGTTGAAGAATGTAGCTTTATCTCCCGTCTAACAGCCATGAGATTAAGAGTGTGATCGGAGAGTTTTTGTGTTCTTCTGCGGCGGGTCTTGCAGAACTTAGCTCCGACCGCATGGACTGTCCATGAGTTCCACGAGCTTGTCATTTATATCGTCCACTTCATTGCAGTCTTCTAGGCACTGAAAACGGTTTTGTAACTCGAGCTGAAAGGTTTCGGGACTTTGGAACAGAGCACGAGGGGGACGGAGCGTTGACTTCATTAGACGAGACCTCTCCAACTTAACGTTTAGGTTCAGTGTGCCTCTAACCATTCGGTGATCGTTACCAGTTTTCACCCTCGCGATCACGGAGACATCACTGAACAGTTGTCGTCTGGTCGTCATAATGAAGTCAATCTCATTTTTTGTCGAACCGTCGGGGCTCGACCAGGTCCACTTCCTGTGGGGCCGCTTCTGGAAGAAAGAGTTCATCATAAAGAGTCCCTCTTTCTCCATGAAGTCGGCCAGCTGCTGGCCCCTTGGGTTCCGTTGCCCTATTCCAAATTTCCCTACTTTCAGCTCACCGTTCTCTCTTGTGCCTAGTTTTGCATTGAAGTCTCCCATTAACACCGTATATTGGGTTTTGGAGGAATGCATGGCTCTAGAGATATCCTCATACATTTCCTCCACCTCCTGATCGGGGTGTGCCGAGGTTGGTGTGTAAACCTGTATGACCTTCAGCGAATACCGTTTGGTGATTCTGAGTATAAGGTACGCAACCCTCGTCGACACACTCTCGATCTTTACAACGTTGTTAACGAGAGACTTGTGGACGATAAATCCGACACCTCCTTGGGACAGATGGTCGCCCTCCCGGTGATAGAGCAAGTTGCCGGATTCGAGGATTACCGTGTCCTCCCCCTCTCCGGACTTCGGATAATCCTATAATATGCCTGCGCAACTTGTCTATCTCTTCTTCCAGCTCCTGTGTGTGTGGTGCTTGCTTATTTGCAATTAATTTAGAATTATCCATAGGCCATTGGGCTCCGTCCTCTGTTGCTCGTCGAAGGTGTTACTCATGGGCCCTAATACTGTCGACTTTGGTCGGCGCAACTAAGGGCGTGAACAAAATGAATAACATTGTTGATAACAACCCCTAGGAATGAGGTGGTTGCTTCAAAGCTGTGTCCAAGATAAATTTTGTAAATAGTCTGTACAACCTTTCTCATTGTATAATTTACTGTAAAAGTAAAAATTACTTTTAATAAGAATTACATGTTGTAGTCTATATTGAATAAAAATTATTCTATTCAGGCCGGCCGTCACGTGAGCCCCGACAACGTGTTCCGAGTGTGTGACGAGCCGCACCCTATGCTGGTGCGTTCAATGCTAGAGTCCTGCTCGCGCCAGGATATACATGAAGCCTACAAGGTGCGATTGAAGACCATGTAGTTTAGTAATGAGTTTTTGTGATGTTGACACCATTTTTCTGTCACCAGGGCGGCGCCACTTAAAAGTGAGGTATAATATTTGATAGATTTCATAGAGGGGAAGTTAATTTGTTCGGAAAATTTAAAAGTTAATGATTTTTTCTGTACTATAAGCTATAATAAGATTAAAAATAGGTAGACCAAACCACAGATATTCATAATAGCCCACTCAATGAAGGAAAAATAGGGGAAATAATTCGTGTAAAAGCGATTTTTGGCATAGTTGTAGGGAATGGTGTCTTAAACAACATACTCAAAGTACTGATGAATGGGGGTGAAGCTAACGGGTAGGGGGGGGTGTAAAGGTCCCTTTTTTAAGTTTTTCTTAAATAACTCGTAAACGGTGGCTCATAGCAAAAAAATTTCTTCTACTCAAGTAATCTAAATAAAATTTTATACAAAAAAGATTCTATACACTTTTTCGCTGGGATCAAAATTTAATGAGATATAAAGGAAAGAAGATGGATAATAATAAAATAAACTTACATTTATTTAATTAGGCAAGACATAATATGTTTAAAAAAAATCTAATTATCTTCTAAATATAAAATATCATCATCAACATCATCGTCGACGGTGTTTTCGATGGGGGCTCCGTTAGTGCATGAGCCGGAGCATACGCCGCAGACCCTGGAGCAGGCAATTCCTGCTTTCCGGCAGCCGCATCGCACCCCACACCCAGTCGTGCACCGGCAAAATATGGTGTTGAGAATGGACTCAGGTGCCACTGGATCATTGGTTGTCACCGGCTTTAGGATGCCATCGTCCCCTCTGGCCCAGCCCCATTGAGTGGGTGGTAGGGGGTTGCCGAGCCATTGTTGTATCTGTAAAAGAAGTAATAAGATCAACGTAAGTATTTAGCTCAAATATATATTTATATTACAGTATTTGACAACTTTTGTGATTAATGTTACCTGTAAGTACACTCTCAATGAGTGCTGCTTCGAAGCTCCTCTGGTAGGAGGAAGAGTGGCCAGATCTGATTTCGGCTTCATCGATGCTCTCAAAAAAGCTGAGTATCGGTATTTATTGAGATTTTGTTCCTGGACAGGCGCTTGGTAAATTGCCAGAAACAGTTTCTCGCCAGCCTGTTCAATACTTTCAGGTGATGTTGAAAGCCCACTGAAAATGTCTGAGATGTTTTGGGTCAGATCTGGTTTAGCCATGAACAGCTTAGCAATTCCCACTTTGCTCTTTCCATGGATTGCGGAGGTGGTGTCGCATCCAGAGAAGCTGTGGAGAAGGAGAATTGACTTGGCAAATTCAAGCTGTTGAAGTTGTCGCACTGAAAACAATTTGGTCTCCACCTTTCCACGTCCTGGTTTCATAAAGAACACGTTGATATTTGGTGGAGCCAATCCCATGAGGAGGACTATCAAGTCGACATCCTCCCCAACTATTACAACAGTTGGATGAACGGCAGCCTTATCCAACCCGCAGCTGACAATAGTACCATCAGCATCTCCTGTTGCAACAGTTGTTTCAATCCCTGCTGCTGTCATTTTCTCGGTGAGGAACTGAATCAGCCTAGTTTTATTGTTTTCATTGGCAAGGAAATGCTCCTGTTGAACAGTGATGATCGTATTTTCGTTACAGTTAATGTCAACCGACGTTCTAGTCAAACCTCGTCGCTTCTGCTCTGCTCGTTTTGTGCTGTTGACATCACTGTAACCATCAAAAACCACCATACAATTTGTACCGTAATGTTTCTGTACGTAGGTAATGTACTGATGGCAAATCGAAGAAACGCTGGAGGACGGTTTCCATTTCATACGGTGTAGTAGGAAACCACCATCTACCACATTGGTGGTTTGGTTGAGATCGAGAGCTGCGTTATTCTCTACTGGCAAAACATCGTAGAGGGATGACTTCTTCCCTTTTCGCATCACACCCTCGTGGAACAGAGACATGGGGAATGGGGTTAATTCATAAGTCAAAAGGTCTGCAACATCTTCGTCATTCTTTTTTGCTATGACAGTTCTTTGGAAAATAGTTAAAGGGTTAACAGTAACTGTCTCACCATTGATTTTAATGCTACTACTCATACTGGCTAGTGACAAAACCACATTCTTTTTAGACTGCTTCATGTCACTGAATCTTCTGCCAATGAAATTTTGCATCGTTTTGGTGCCAATATCTAGGGCTTGGTGGCAGTTTACTTTGGAATTTCCCAGGACGCCCGTTGAGAGAGATATTAGCGAATTCAACTTTGGAAATGGGGGATGTTCACTAAACCATTCCCGAATCTTAGCTCGATCTCGTGAATCTCTCTGTTGCCGTGACTGCCGGAAATCGACATGCTGTTCTCCACTAGCAAAAACCACTTCGGCGAACTCCTCCAATGAAGTGCAGATGGCGGTGCATCCCGGTGATCCGCAAACCCATTTGGCCAATACAGAATCAGTAATTCCTCTTCCTCGCGTCAGGCCACCTGAACTTTTCATGGAGCGCATGAGAGTTTGCTCTATTACCATATCCGACCAAACTCCTGCCCAAGGTGTGCCTGTGCGATTAATGGTGAAGAAGCCTTTTTCTGCAAATTCCTTGTACGTTTGGGGATGGCTGTTCTTCAGTTGCATCATGTCTTGCACGTAGATATGGGCACATTTCGCGTATTGGAAGTGTCCACTTGCATGGAAGAATGGGATTATCTGTTGTACACACGCCAAGTGGCCGTCCCAATCACCACAACGCTCAAAATTAATGTACTTCTTCATGAGTGTAACCATATTGAAATACTGCACCCACAAAGCAGCGGTAGGCCCATTCTCTTTAAGGGTCTCGAGATGGTACTGAAATTTTTTCAAAGTTGACATCAAGGAAGCATTCTCTTTAACTTTATCTGGAGTAAATTCTTCCATGTTGATCAACATAGTCGAGATGTCCTTCTTCTCTTCTTCTGATACATTGGCTCCATCCAGAATAATATGAGCTAAAACAAGCTGAACAAGCAAATGTCCTCGAACGGCTCGGCTGTAGGCATGTCCTGTTAACATCTTGTCAACTGAATTAGGAGCAAAAATTTGGCATAATACATCTTTCAGTCCTGATCCAGCCATTGTGTGGCCAATGCAACCCAAAAAGGACATCAGTAAGTGAAACCCACCAAGTCTCACCATAATGCTCCCAAAGCTGATTTCCCTGGCCTTTAAATACAAAGGCTGGTCGAAAGTTACGAAACAAACGGTGACTCCTACCTCCTGACTCTTTTTTAAAGCATACTGTAAGGCTGTGCGTATAGTGCTGTACTCATTTGGTGGAGAATTGATAAATGGAAGAAAAGTTACCGAAGTTGTTTCTTTGTTAATTAATTTACTTGTCAATTGCATAAAACCTTTCCATTCTGGAATGTTAGGCACCTCCAAAGTAGGTTCCACCTCCTGGAGCCACTTACCACTCATCCACAAGAGATCTTGAATAGTGGGTGTGAATATGTCAGAAGGGATGGGCTTCAGAAAGCTCAAGTCTTCTATGATCATTTGCTGTAATGCGTTGGTTCCCCTACCCTCTAATGTATGCACCTCCAGAACTCCCAGCTGGCCCACTTCTTCCTGGGGAGGAGCAGAATTCAACCTTTTGACATTTGTGGATGCATGAAGAGTGTTGGCCGGTGTAATACATTTGATACCTCCCATGCTGTGGAAGGTATTCCGGCCATCGAGAGTGGATACATTGAAGTCAGCATTGTCAAAGACGAACTGAATAAAAGTTCCAATTGGAATAGGCTCTTCCGTATGGTGGATGGTGGAGAGCTCTAGCCGCTGAGCCTCGTAATAAGAGGCACTCAATCCCAACTTCGACAGAAGGTCCACCAAATTCTTGGATCCATATTTTCGGTATATAAGCAGAGCGATGCTGGACAAAATAGGGGATATGAAACATCTAGGGCGAATAGCAGCAATAAGTGTATGAGCTATAGTTGTCATTTTTTTTTTCACAGTCTCTTGTGACCTTTTTTTCTTTGCAAGGCAGTCTGTGAAAACTGCGAGAGTTTGAGGTATCAATTCTTCAGCCTCCCTGCAGAAGCTAGTTAAAGGAAAATAGGCACTGTTGTCGTAAGCCATAGATTCAATATCTTTCAAGATAATCTCAGCGGCTTTTCGTACAATTCTTTCATTTTCTGCCTGTTCATTAGTACACCTTGACGTGTACCACGCGTCGTTTAAAATTTTTTCACCAGTTGCATGAAAGCAGACGACTGTTTGTTTGGTGCGAGTTGTACTGAAAACAATTTGGTCCCCATATTTTTCCTTCATTCTGGCTTTGATGGTTTTCACAGTTGGTGGTTCTCCCGTAATCTGTCCCAACAAATCGTCCATAGAAAATTGACAGTTATCATTTTTTTCAATGTAATCGTAGATTTCGTTCATTGCTTCTGAAATCCCTTCATCAATGGGGCGCCCAGCTTTTCTTTTTGAAGGTAGAGTGGCAAGGGTGAATTTTTTGTAACAATCCACGTGATATATAGCATCTACTGCATGTAGATCCCCAACAGTGCAGATACGTCTTACTACGTCGTTACCCCACTCATCGTTTCTTTCCTGCCCACGAAGAAGCACGGAATTGTGAAACGTAGTCGTACGAACTTTGATAATGGTTCGACGCTTAGAATAAGGTTTTTTTCTCTCCGCCTCCTCGTCATGCTCTTCTGTGCAAAAAAAACACTTTGTTTTAAAATCAAACTGACTTTGTCCTGAACGCAAAGAAGAGACACCACGTGATGTTGATGGTTGCTCTGAAAGAGCTTGTTCTCTCAAAAACCTTTTTATTGAGTCACTTCTAACGTATTGTCTTCTGCAAGTATTGTGAACAACACCACTCATCTTATTCCTTAAACATGTTTCTTTCCCATCTTTTCTTAACGCGCTTGCCTTTATTATCCCACTTATCCCTTTACTTCCGACTTTACACAAGTCCATTTCGACTACATTATCACAAATTAAACACTTCTCCGACATTTTGTAGTGCCACGTAGAAAAAAAATCACAACTCGCGACGCGATTTAACCTCTGACCGATTTTGGCGCGAAACTCGGCGTACACACAACCACTTCACTGGCGGCGCGCACAGTCTGTGGCGCGCACTTTACTACGACGTTAAATCGCGAGAATTGATCATAATTAACTTTTCTTCTTTAATATCTCGTTAAATATTGATCCCAGCGAAAAAGTGTATAGAATCTTTTTTGTATAAAATTTTATTTAGATTACTTGAGTAGAAGAAATTTTTTTGCTTTGAGCCACCGTTTACGAGTTATTTAAGAAAAACTTAAAAAAGGGACCTTTACACCCCCCCCTACCCGTTAGCTTCACCCCCATTCATCAGTACTTTGAGTATGTTGTTTAAGACACCATTCCCTACAACTATGCCAAAAATCGCTTTTACACGAATTATTTCCCCTATTTGGCAGTTTTTGGTCTTCGTTGAGTGGGCTATAAAAGTAGAAAAATTTAAAATGGTTAAATATGTGCAAAAAATTAAGGAGAAAACCAGTGACATATCGTTTTGTGTATTAATATAATACTTTTGAAACTTATAAACTTTTATTAGAAACTAACTTCTCAATTAAATTTACACAATGTAACAAAAAAATACTTTACCTCAGTGTCAACTAGCGACATCTGGTGAGCAGTAAATTATTAACCCTTACTATGCCAATGTCCCTCCTATGAGGCAATCTTTGGGGGAGGTCTATGTTCAGCAGTCGACTTTCACAGTTTTGATTGATTAGCTTTATGTATATTTATTCACTGTAAATAAATAATGCTTAGCCAAAAATAAAGTTATAACCAGTAACCAGAAATATGTGTTTTTTTATTCAGTTCATACTCAAAAGAAGTGAAACCTTTAAATGAAGTAAAATATAAATAAAATATATTTCACAGCAAATGAGTTTATTTAATATGATAATTTTCAATAACAAGTTCAGTATAATATACAAGTTTAATTTTATAGCAGATAAAATATTATCAAAAAAATATTTTCTTTCGATTAAAATTGCTTTGTAATAGCGCTACCTACTTCATTATATATGTAAAATCATTTTATTTTTTGATTTCATTCTCTCACAGTCTAAATCCTATAGATATAAATATATATGTTTGCCTTTTTTTAGTGTCGCTTTTTCGATTCTTCAAGTTCCAAATCACAATGATTCTAAAGAAATTTTGACTTGAATATCTTTCAGGTGATAGCGAAGCTGGTGAAGCTGGGTTACGCGGCGGAGGACATCGTGAGCAACATCTTCCGGGTGTGCAAGACACTGGACGTGTCGGAGGACGTGAAGCTGGCGTTCATCCGCGAGGTGGGCGCGACGCACATGCGCGTGGCCGACGGGCTCAGCTCGCCGCTGCAGCTGGCGGCGCTGCTGGCGCGCATGTGCCGCGCCGCAGCAGCCCTGGCTGCAGCCGATCCACCCACCCAGCCTTAACTGAACCCATCAGACAACCGAGCCTCAAGTGAACATCACTGAATCAATCCACAATCCGAGACTTGTGTAGTGAATTGAATGTGAAGTGAATGTTACAGTGCCAAAACTTAAAGAATGATCAAAGTGAATGTGAAACTGTGCTTCTTAGTGATAGGAATGAGCTAAGTGTTATGTAATGATAGTTGCATGTTGAAGTTTAAAAAAGTTAAAGTAGTAGTAGTAAAAGTTGAAACATAAACTAAAGCATTTATTGAACTCAGGGATTGAAAACGTTTCCAGAATACCGGTATAGAACCGGTATTTAGGGGTTTCGGTACCTATACGGGAACAGGAACCAGAACCTAAATTAGAACCTTTGAGAACCTTTCTTAAGCAAAGCGAAAGCGAGTCCAAACTTGTATGAGGTGCGGTCGGGTGGACGGCACAATGCGGCGCGCGGCGGAGTGTGAGGAGAGGGGAGTTTCTAAAATCTCACATTTATATTAATGGATCTTTTATTGCATATCAACGCAGTGTTGCCAACTCTACGGATTTTTCGATAGATATACGGAAATTTGTCATCATCTACAGAACTATGGAATTTGACGTTGCAATCTACGGAATTTTTATAAACTTAACAAGATTTTTTTTATCACGAGTGTAAACTTGCCAACAATGTCATTCTCTCTCTCTCTCTTCTTCTAATGTTGTCTGTATTAAATTATATTTAATAATTAATTCTATGCTATCTGTATTAAAATAAAACCATTTTTACCAAATGTCAATAGCTTAGATATGTTGAATTAAATTACGTTTGTTTCGAATTTAGAACACTTCTTGGAAAATAGGCAGTTAATATAAGCGCTTATAACCTTTTTTGTAGATGATTGAATTGTCACTTATGTCTCAAATTTTTCTAATCCATGCTATCCCATTTGTTTAATTTACATTTGTTTAATAACAATTATTAAAAAAATTCTGCCAGATTATTCTTCGCTTTTCCTCGATCTTTTTTTTCGAATACAGCCTACCCCAAGGAATGCCACAAAGCACGGTCCTGAGCCACCTGCATCCATGACTTCCTGCATGTCTTACCAGGTCGTCACTCCATCTAGTGGGGGGGGGACGTCCTACACTTCGTCCGCCGGTACGAGGCCGCCACTCGAAAACCTTTTTTCCCCATCGGTTGTCGGTTCTTTGACCTACATGGCCGGCCCATTGCCACTGCAGCTTACTAATCCGTTGTTCTACGTCGGTTAATCTGGTTCTACTGCGGATATCCTCATTTCTAAGTTTATCACGCAGAGAAACTCCGAGCATAGCTCTCTCCATAGCTCGCTGAACGACCTTGAGCTTCCTCATACGGCCAGCAGTCACCCTACACCTCTCTGCAATTGGATAGGTGTCATACACTGGTTCTGTACTCGGATAGCCATCGTAGCCCTACTGTACAAGCACTTCAGCACTTCGATATACCGACAGTCAACTTGGCACCGTTGAAGGGATTGCAGCACCGCCCAAATTTCGACGGAATCAAAGGCTTTCTCATAGTTTACATACGCCAGAAATAGTGGCAAATTGTACTCCTCAGACATCTGTACCATTTGCCGAAGGGTATGTATATGGTCTATGGTGCTAAAGCCCTTTCGGAAACCGGCTTGTTCGGGAGGTTGGAAGTCGTCAAGTTGCGCGCGAGACGATTCGTAATGACTCTCGAAAATAACACGTTCTTCAAGAGAGCGTTGTCACCTTTCTTGAAGAACAAGACCACCGCACTTCTGTTCCACGCCTCCGGTGTAATGCCACCATGGAGGACGGAATTAAAGAGCTTCTGAAGGACTTCAAGTACCGGTTTTCCACCCGCTTCCAGAAGCTCCGTTGTAATTCCATCCTCGCCTGGGGTCTTGCCGTTTTTAAAGTGCTGGAGAGCCATTCTAATCTCGCTCAGATTGACGTCCGGGATATCATCGGAATAGTGTCGAATAAGACTCTCTTGGATCGTTACTCACACTTGAGTATGGCTCCAACGATGATGTGTACAGCTGCCCATAGAACCTCTCAATCACATTCAAAATCTCAGGTGTCCCGGAAACGACGCTGCCACACTCGGTCTTCAGCTTCGACAGTTGGCTCTTTCCGGCAGACAGATCTCTAGCAAAGACTTTGGAGCCCTGGTTCCGCTCGATTGTTTCTTCAATAAGAGCAGTATTAAAGTAGCGTAAGTCCCGCCGCATGCATTTGGATATCTGTCCGTTCAGTTGCCTGTATGCTGTTAAATCTGCTGAAGACTGCAGCTTCATATCCCGTCTAACAGCCATGAGATTAAGAATGTGATCGGAGAGTTTTTGTGTTCTTCTGCGGCGGGTCTTGCTAAACTTAGCTCCGACCGCATGGACAGTATCCACGAGCTTGTCATTGCAATCTTCTAGGCACTGAAAACGGTTTCGTAGCTCGAGCTGAAAGGTTTCGGGTCTTTGAATTAGAGCACGAAGGGGACGGAGCGTTGACTTCATTAGACGTGTCCTCTTCAACTTAACGTTTAAGTTCAGTATGCCTCTCGCCATTCGGTGATCGCTGCCGGTTTTCACCTTCGCGATCACAACTGAACAGTTGTCGTCCGGTCGTCATAATGAAGTCAATCTCATTTTTTGTCGAACCGTCGGGGTGAAAGAAAGTCGGGTTTTCTGGAAGAAAGAGTTTATCATAAAGAGTCCCTCTTACTCCATAAAGTCGGCCAGCTGCTAGCCCTTTTGGTTCCGTTTGCCTATTCCTAACTTATTTCAATTTATTTAATTTATTTTATTTTTAATTGTACAGAATTTTTTATACCAATCTACGGATTTGGAGAAATTTGATTATAGGTTCTTAGAACCGGTACATCGGAACCCGAACCAGAACCGATACCGGAACTGGAACCGTACCGAAAAGAGGAACCTTTATAAGAACCTAAATGAGGGACCAGAACCGAAACCGGTGGTACCGGTATTCAATCCCTGAGTGAACTGAAAATGAATTTGATTTAAAATATTATACAAACTCATACTAATTTTCATAATGTTTTAGAACCTTTGGGTAGGCCCAGATATACCCAATAGCCAATAGACTTAGAGGTCAGAATAACTAGCTATTTTTACTGAAAACGAGGTATTTCATCTCAGTCTTCAGGGGTGAAAATCTATCTGCATTTTAATTCTTAATTGAGGATAAATGTAGATGTCTATGGGCCGCTACATTCACTTACCATCATGTGGACTGTGTGCTCGTTTGTCACCCTGTTCTATAAAAAAATGAAAAGACAAACAGATACACATAACAGCGTACCCTTTTATGGTTCCACCGCAATTAGGTAAAGCTAGTAAATAAGATACCCTGTTAGTTACATTCATCATAGAATGTAACTAACAGGATATCTTATTTACTAGCTTTACCTAATTGCGGTGTTGGACATCCACAGCTGAACTTAGATTTTGCCCATAAATTGCCAATTTCTCTGTTCCAAGTTGGTTGTAGGTTTATACAATAGCTACTACCATCATGACTGCCTTGTTAGTCTAGTCCTGGGTTCCTTATGCCAGGTCGGGCCAAAATCAGTTATTGAGTTTTTTTTTCAAACAATTCTCAGTAGTAGAGCGGAGTCTGGAAGTTGGCAGTGTTTCACCCCGTGCCTCTGAAAGCAAGTACAGCCGTTGATGCTCCACCTGATCTCTCTTAGGTCGTGTCTGAGAGTGCACCTGTGCTTGCGCATACACTCGGGCACTATCACCCTATCCTGTACAGATGGCTAGTTCAGACTGGCCACCGTGACTGACATTGGGTTTGGAGGACATTATTTATTATTATTGTTATTACTACCATTAGTATTGTTTGATAGGTTCACTTTGAGATTATTAAAAAAAAACTGCATTATGAACCTGTGAAATGTGGAACTTGAATATTTTTGCATTCTGAACTTCACTAGGCATCAACTGCCTATTCTAAAATAATGATTGTGTCCGTGAGAACATGTGATTAAAACACTTGAAACCCTAAATAAAAGATATCTTACGTCACACTGTGGCCCATGTTGGTAAACTGTCGTAATATACCAGGCTAGGCTACGTGCATTGAAGATAAATGAAGAGACATTTGTTTTTCATAATTTTATTAATTTTATCGTCATATAAAAATTTGAATAGTTATAATTTGTCCTTATATCTAATATATGAATACATCATTATATAAAAGTTGTGAATTTTTTTTATACAAAATAAATGAGATATAATTTATTTGTAGTTAAGGCAATATCCGCCAGGTGGCGCTAGTGGTATGTGTTCACTGTGCTATCAGCTTGTTGTGCTCCCCCATTAGACTCTGTAAAGTGCAATAACTAAGATCAGTAGAGAATTTGAAATTTTAAATAAGCCTAAGAAAGATGATAAAACGAACACAGAATTAACAATGGCAAGTGAATCAGATGCCAACACCAAGAGATGGGTCGGCTCGCCCGTGGAAGGACCACGCTCTCACAGAATACCAGCGTAATTAATATAGCGTATTCAATATAGATTGTGTAGTACATAATTCTTATTGAAAGTCATTTTTTTACTTTTACCCCTGATTCGAATAAAACTTATAAAGCTATACTAGAGTTTAAAAAAAATATTTTGACGCCATTTGTATTTTTTATCTGTGTCTGCGACCGTAGAAAAATAAACTAGCTGCGTTATTTCATTTGTAACATCTTTACACTGACATTGGCGAAATGCATCAAAACGATCATAAACACGTGGAAAGGCAACTCTCACGTTTATTTTAAACCCTCGTTATTTTTGAATATGAGGTTCGGCAGAACGTGGCAATACATTGAAAACAGCACGCAATAGCATGTACTCGTATTGTCCAGGTACTGTAAATGGACGCTACGTGCATTTTTGGTGTGAATTAGGAAAATCTAGAAGGTTGGAAAGAATAAATTTAAATTTATAAAGGAGACGGTCCATTTCTGGCCCAGTCTATGTACAGTATACCGTAAAATAGAGAAA